GGAGAGAGAGACAGGGGGAGATATAGATAGAGAGAGATAGGGGGAAGAGAGAAAGTTATAGATCGACTTTTGCTAATTCTCTTTTTTAAATGAATACTAAATAACAGGTCATGTTCAAAATACGCATTTGAATAACACTTAAAAAGAACTTAAGAACTTAAAATGTGCTTGTTTCTCTTGATTTTCAAGTAAACCTATCTCGATTACGGAAGATTCCATACCCCACATGAAATGCATGTGTTGCCGTATGGCAGGTGAAGAGGACGCCATGGTGTCTTTCTTCCTGTCAGAGATGTGACAGTTTAATGGCAATTCGAAAGTAAACAGAATTAATTGACGTTACCCATTTTCTCTAAAAGTATCGTCGTGTGAATATCATCTATCATCGTTGGTCTGCTTGTAAAAGATCCTACGCAGGCAGACTAGGATGGAAGAGTACTTGGGTTCATTATTTTGTCAAAGACATTAGTTGCAATTATAATATGAACATTCTCGGTCGAAATTCGAACACGTTTTCCCGTTCTGCACGCATATACAGGTGGTGTAATAAATAACGGCTCTGTACTGAGAAATCGCAGAGCGGAGTTCGAACCCCAGTCCTGTTCGTTACATTCACTTACACGAAAAAACACTTGGAAAGGGTATGAATCGATTTTCGTCCCCCAGCTATGGGTTAAATAGTATGTTTTGTATCTGAAAAAAAAAATTATTGTTCTCTCAAAAAGGAAAAAAAGAAAACTGGTAATGCAATATTCACTCGGGAAAAAAAAATGGAATCAAAAATATCGCAAAAGGGTTGATAAGTCGTAATAAACAAATCACTCAATCTTTGTTCTAAAAAAAAACACACTGTTCATCTTCGTATCTCCAGTTCACTGGTGAAATAATTAAAAAAAAAATCATTTCGACTATCGCCCGGTTCACACTCCTCTTTGATGATTTGAAAACGAGTAGACGTTTATCCCTTGTTTCCTGTTCAGGATTAGGTTTCCGGTTACTTCTCCAAAAGTCTTTTTATTCCCTTAATTCCAAGTAACCATTTGTGTCTTAGTGGCATCATCGCCTTTCTAGGGGTGTATGATTAAAAAAGAACCTTGAATTTCTGGTATGAAGAATAATCATTATTTACAGTCAGACTAATATCCTCATCTTTGTTGTTCTTGTATAAATTTAATGACCGAAATCACGAATATTTAATGGGAGAAAATCGGCTGCATACAGATAGAAAATAAATTGAGCGTGCATACTAACGTAACTTTAGTCGTAAGCAACGGATGCGTCTTCTCATTTATATTTATCCTATATATATAGAGAGATAATCCTAAGAGAAGAGGCATTTATTATTGGTAGGTACAACATAGGATACGCAGATGATATCGCGTTGATGAAAGACAGAAAGAATATTCCAAAAAACTACGTCACAATAGAGTAAGTGAAAGCAGAAAGAAAGGACTGACCATCAATTGTAAAAAGACAATTATCAGCAAGAGAAAAAAGGCCAAGGCATGCGTTCGAAATTGAAGAATTCATCATCAAGCACGTAGGAAAGATTAATGATTGGGGAAGTGTTTTAAGAAACGATGTATTCTGATCATGGCATTCACAGTATGTTTTTGTAGAATGAGATCTCTGTTGCCTCAATTCTCCTCTTCATCTGCGAAGACATTTTCCATCATTCGGTGCCATCTGGGATTATTGATATGACATAGCAGTTCAGCACTCATTTCTTTGTTTCTAACGAAAGATTTTTTTTGTTTTTCCGTACTTTGATTAGTTTCTGGGTGCTATCTTTTCCTATATCTAGTGAGTCTTATGATTTGGATCTCTCTCTCTTTCTCTCTTTCTCACTCACTCATTCACACACACACACACACACACACACACACACACACACACACACACACACACACATATATATATATATATATATATATATTATAAACTGTTACATTGGAACATGCAAGTTACCGCGACAAAAAAGGATATTCATTTCGACGTCCAAAGAAGTCTATTGAAAAACTAATTTACATTGGCTAATAATAACATGACTGTTGTGAAAACATTTGCTTTCTTAATAAAATATTATAGGGATGACGCACTGAGGAAAAGTTCTTGACCTTCTCCAAAAATCGATTTTGTAAGTGGGTCGGGCCTAGAATTTTCTGAACCCAGTCATATATATATATATATATATATATATATATATATATATATATTTAAAGAAATTTTTATGTTTAGCATTCTTTTTATAGATACAAGTATTTTAGTAAATGCTCTGTTTTATATTATAATAAACAGTATTAAAAAACATTTACCGGCCTAAATGTCCGAGAAATTTTCATAGAACATATTCGTCCTTTGACAACCTGCATCCTATACGGAACCGTTCGGCCTAACCGTTCGGCCACAAATGATCGTTCGATTGGCAAGGTCGAATTTACTGGATGTCTCAGTTATTTTCCTTTAACTCAACTCAAAGTTTTTGGTTCACCACTGCTGTAGCCTGTTACTTAACTCACAACTATTTGGGTCTAGTCTACTGGATCTAACCAATGGCTATATCCTCAAGGACACATACCCCAGTGGGGAATTGCCATATGCGAGCACGTTGTCAACATGCGAGGGACTTTTTCGTGTGTGAGAACATTGTCAATATATGAGCGCATTGTCAATTGTGAAGAAATTGTCCAGCATTCACTGCCGTCTCGTAGTTCTGATATTTTCTTGTTCTTGTTTCCAGCGAAACTTTTCTTTTTCTTAATACTCTGTTTAGGTTTTGGAAGGCATTATTTGCTATTCTTATACCTCTTCGGATTTCGGTGTCACATTGTCCGTCACCCGTTTTAACACTGCCCAGATATTTAAATCTTCCTAGATACTTGATTTTGACATCTCCGATTCGTAGCTGGCATGTTAGACCACCACGCTTTCTAAAAATACAACCTTTCATTTTAGAATTACGGGTTAATTCTTTTCTCCTGCTTCACTTTTCTTAGAGTTCCTGTCGTATTCATTTTGTGCCAGCCTTCAAAACTGCGTTATAGTATGTCATCAATTTCAATATAAAACTTTCAAAATAAAAGACACACGGCACAGTGAATAAAGGCGTTAGTTAGATCCACTGACAGGACCCAAAGAATGTGAGTTCAATACCTCGTTAAGGCGGTGGAGAACTTGGAGAAGGGAATTAACAGGACATAACTGATAACAGACAACGATTAGACATGACACATGGAACTAGAACAGTCTACCCCAGCGATCAAAATAAAGGGTTCAGTTCGGTATTTTAACCACCTAAAGAAGGCCGAAGCGTACAACAGCCGAAACGTTGTAATAAATATGGCGACCAAGATGAGGACGATAGTCCGAACAATGTAAATAGTGTACATAATATCTCATCTCAGAAATATAAAGAGATACATATATAGAAATATAGAGAGATACTGAAAAGTATATAGAGCTTATGTTCTAGTATGAAATAATCGTGATCTTGTAAGGCAAAACTTTGCGAAGAAGAGGGGGGCTGGAAAGAGAGTTATAATGATTTAAGCAAGTCAAGAAAAATGGCACCTCTTTTTATCTTTCTCACGAGCGCCGCTTACTTTGAGACGGGAAGCTGGGGGCTTTCGATATGAGAACATTGAGTCAATTACGACACGTATGTATTTTCTGTTTAGAGTCACCGATAATCGTTATTGTAACAAAGATGATAATTATATCAATAATAGCAACAAGGGAAAAAAATAAAAAAAAAAAAAAAAAAAAAAAAAAAAAAAAAAAAAAAAAATAAAATGAAAGCAAAAAAGAGAAATACTGAACATGAAGATTACGTCATTAGGGCTTATAACTAGCGCAGTTGGAAGAATCCCAACAAACCGAACGAAATGGTTCTAAGACTTATCTATTTTAGAAAGAATTGAAATCAAGCAGAAAAAAAAACGAACATTTTTCAAAAGCCGCCAAATGACTATGCATGCACCATAGGGTGCTGAAAAGTCTTCGTAACGACCAAATTGCTAAAATCTGAAGACAGATTTGCGCTCTTCAAAAATTTGCAGCTTACATCCATATCACGATAAAACCAGTTTTTGTACGATCACCGAAGTTAAGCAACGTTGAGGTGTGTGAGCGCTTGGCAATGCCAGATGCTGTAAGCTTAGATTTGCGGTTGGTGTAGATCGAAGTGTCGAGTTCCAAATCCAGACACGGCTTTGTTATATTCGTTTAAGAGCAAATATCCTTGGGCAACGTATGAATACACCTCTTCTCTCATCGCAGCTATATATATATATATATATATATATATATGAGAGGGGGTTCTGAAAATTCTAGCCCTGACCCACTTACAAATTCGATTTTAATAGAAGGTCAAGAACTTTTCTTTAATGTGTCATCCCTATAATATTTTATTAAGGAAGGAAATGTTTTCACAATAATATTGTTATTATTAGACAATGTTAATGAGATTTTCAATAGACGTCTTTGGACGTCGAAACAAATATCCCTTTTTGTCGCGATAACTTGCATGTAACAGTTTATATATATATACATACATACATACATATATATATATATATATATATATATATATATATATATATATATATATATATGTGTGTGTGTGTGTGTCCAAGTATAGGATTGGTGTATACGGAATAAATTCCAATAACCAAAAATAGTATTCTTAAAAGAATGCTCAATACAAAGTAGAGTAAATATAATTCATTCGAAAATTATACCATAAATATGTTATAAAATCACTACAAAAATAACCATTTTGTTTCAACACTTCTGGTGTCTTATCAAGTGATGGTATTGAATGTAGAATAAAGAGTTTTAAAAGGTTCAAATCGACCAAATGCCCGTCGATGGGGGAGGCTGATAATTCTAAAAACTTGACAACTAACCTTGGTGAAATAATTAATGACTTAATATTATATATAGTAGGACTTGTATCAGTAAATATGCATCTTATGCTGTATTATACTTTGCATAGGGCTTACGGCATTATCACGTTGAAACGTCAGTTCTCGTACGATCACCGAGGTTAAGCAACGCTGGGCCTGTTCAGTATCTAGATGGATGACTTCTTGGGACTACCAGGTGCTGTAAACTTGAATGTGGAGGTGCTGTTATGAGTAACGTCTATGGACGAGAAATTGGAGAGCCGAGATCGAATTCCAGTCGGGTTCGTTACATTCACTTAGGCAAATATTCTTAGAAAATAATGAATCGAGAAGAGACATTATTGGGTAAGTGTATCACAGCTGCCCATGGTAACACGCATTGGGTCAGCTCGGTCGGGTAATGGCTTATCCCTCCTCATAAATCTGGACTGAGCTGATAGGAATACTCGGAATTGGATTCAAATTTGGAATTAGAAATCAGCGAGCCGAGTTCGAATTCCAGTCGGTTTCGTTATATCCACTTACGCGCAAATAACCTCAGGAAAAGTATGAGTTCATTTCTTCTCCCCCCCAGCTGTGGATTAATTAGTACAACTTGTATCAATAAATCATTATTATCTCAAAGAGAAATAATACTTACAATCTAAAAAAATATATTCTGACGGTTGATAAACCGTAAAAAAGAAATCAGTCAATTGATAAATCAATCAATTAATCTATATACATTGCTTAGTTCCTGGAAGACATATTTCGCTATGATGTCTGTGTTAGTTTTTTTTTTCGAAGACTGTTATTACACATTTTAGATAAATTTCTGTACCTGGTTGATTTTGATTTTACAATACGAAGCGTATAGCTTAGTCTCAATTGCTGACGACCATGCAGTCGGTTTTACTAACATTTAATAGTTAGTCCTTTCTTTTCATTACTAAAAAAATTCTTTCAGAAGGTCATTTCTATTTCCTTCCGTAACTTTTGCACTTTGGTCTTGCGGCAATTCCATTATTTGACTTGTTTTTTTTCTTCTCAGAATAAGTGAATACTCTATTTGATATTCTGTAGATTTCTCTCGTTTTGAACTGGAAGCATTTTAATGTTATTATTTACAGTACTTCGTCTCTGATATGAGAGTATTTTCGCACCATCTGATGGCATCAATTCTCAACTCAGTATCTATGCCGATGACACAACCATTTATTTCTGTCAATTGTAAGTCTGAGCGATTATATCAGGACAAATTGGCAGCTGATATAAAAAAAGATCTACTTTCTGTTGTTAACTGGGGCAATGAATGGCTTGTTAAATTTTAAGGCCTACAAAACGAAGCTGTTTTCTTTTAATCATCTGAGAGAATCCTCTTTAACTTGCATCAGCATGGATAATGGTAACTTCCAGCAGATTGATTCATTGTGGCTTCTCGGTCTAACGTTTGCCGCTGACATGAAGTAGAAAGATTATATCGAATCCCTTGTTAGGTGTACTAGAAAAGTTGGTTCTCTATGTCATGCTACAGGATTCTTCTCACCGGAATCGATCTTATATATTTATAAGTCTACAATTCGTCCTTGCTTTGAAAACTCTTGTCACATCTAGTCTTGTACTCCTGCTATATATTTACAGATTCTTGATAAAATCCTAAAAAATAACCTGCAATGTTGTTAGTTCTGACCTGTCATCTTGCCTTCAGTTTCTTTCCCACCGACGTAATGTAGCTTTCCTGTGTCTTTTCTATAAATACATTCATTTTTATTCCATTCCCAGACTAATTGTACATATGGGAACGAATGAGAACTTCAAAGAGACACTGAGGTATTTTGGTGGTTGTAGTAAAAATGGTAAGGAATAATGTGTTGTATTGGTGTAAGGAATACTGTGATGTGTGTGTGTTATGTATCTAGCTAAGTTAAAGATAAGACAGATAGAAAAACAGCCTTCCCCAATCTCCACTTTTGGCATTGTGCCACAATTTTGCATATTCAAAATAAATGTTACTTTCCTCTATGGTACGTAGACTTTACGAATTTAAGCGTTATACTAGATCGGCGAAAAGGTCACATCATTTTACAGTGGAAATAGCTAGGTATAACCGTAAATTCTATGCTAACAGTTTCTTCTGTCGCACTTCTCGCTTGTGGAACTCTCTTCCGGCGTCTTGTTTCCCAGTCAACTTTGAACTTCAAAAATTTAAATGCAGTGCCAATCATTATCTGCTGTCTTCTTAATTCTTTTTATTTAATTTGTTTAATCTCTCTCCTGAATAGTATATTTTCCATGCTCTAACACTAACTCATTGGGTCTTAGTGACTTGATTGCCTTGAGAAAACTACAGATATTACATTATGTATGATACAACAGTTAATACAACCAAATATTATTTTAGATCAGTGCCCGAAATAGCGACAGTCACGATGAATTGAGAAGCCCTCGAGGAGGCACTATGTCTTGCGCGATGATTGGGCCTCGATCCAACGCCAAAGATGCAAATAAAATGATCGGCTCCCTGTAACGCTGCTCATGCTATCCTCTAGCTTTAAGAGCCAGATCAGGCCAAAAATGAAGTACTGTTGCCATATTTGCACGGGAGCTGCCTAGTCCTCGCTTCCCAGTCTTGATAGAACCTAAAAGGGTCTCCGAATTCTCGTGGGAGAAGAATTATTTTCTATCTTCCAACCTCTCTTTCACAGGCGGGCGAGACTCTCGATGTTCTATCGTTACTTCCATGGAAAACGCTCGAACGAACTACATTCCTTGGTTTCACCAGCAATAATCTTCAATACTAAGACACGACATTCCACCGACATTGTAACAAACCATCCACCCTCCCTCCGTATTCTGTCGACGTGAAGTAAGTTCCAATCAAACAGTTTCTTCCTGCGAACCACTACTTTGGGGAACACACTCCCAAGTGGATGTTTCCCCGATCACTACAATCTTCACCTGTTCAAGTCAAGACTTAACGATTATCTTCCCTTTCTGGGTTTTAGAACCCTCCACATCATCGTCAGATATATATAGATATATGATAATTGTCGGACTTTGTCCATTTCATTATATATATATATATATATATATATATATATATATATATATATATATATAATGAAATGGACAAAGTCCGACAATTATTTTAAGACTTTTTTATGTTTATACATTCTTTTTATAGATACAAATATTTAAGGAAATGCTCTGTTTGTAATAAACAGTATTAAACAACATTTACCGGCTTGAATGTCCGAGAAATTTTCACAGAAAATATTCGTCCTCCGACAGGATTCGAACCTGTATCCTATACGGAACTTATCATTTAGCTTGACGTGCCTTTACCGATTTGGCCACGAAGGAGCGTTCGGCTAGCAAGGTCGAATTTACTGTATTTAAACTTCAATCTTCTAGGAATCTCTCACGTACATTCATATCTGCTCATGGCGTATCCAAATGTAATCAAATGACGTCACACATTATGAAATGGCAAAGTCAGACAATTATTTTAAAACATTTTTATGGATATGGTATTGTGGTATATGTAGGAGTAAAAGGTGAAGGGTGAATTCTTTTGGTGAATGGGTTATTTGTATTGAATGAATGGGTCGTGAATCGGGTTAGCTAAGTATAGGATAGGTAAGGAGGACTAACCTCAACCCCACTCCCCACTTTTTAGGAAATGTGTCACAATTATTGTATTTTACAATATTAAATATTTTCTCTTTCTGTACATATAAAGTACCCCTTAACGTAATACTCTATCTCGAGTGCCCCCCACAGGCCTTGAACCTTATTGAAAAAAAAGTTAAAATTAATATTAATACTATACTTTTGGAAAACAAGCAAAAAGTAAACTCTCGAAGCATGAGATTTCCTAATTAAATATTTACCCGTTTGAAAAAAGAAAAAAAAAACATGCTTTTAATCGACCACTCATATATTTAGTTTTTCCATGGTGTAAAAGATCTAAAGTAACATTTGCCTCCTCACAATTCAATCAACAGAGAATGAATTAAAAAAAATATATACGTATTTACGGGTTAATATATCCACTAGAATTTTAACACGTAGGTTCTTTAGCCTTATCATATTCTGATTTGTTAATGTCAATATTCTTTTTTTTTTGAGTTTGCTTTTCTGAAATGCGTAGATGATGAAAAGGCTTTCATATTTATGGATTTCAAACGCTCAAGACGATATGGGTTCTCCTTTCATCTCAGCAGGGAGCAAGGCAACGGAGGTCTAAAAGCGGTAAACGATTTAGATGTGCGTTCGTGCTTTTCAGAATTCATCTTCATATTTATGCGGAAATGCCGAAATATTTATTTAAAAATAGGAATAACTTCCAGGTGATAATCAAAGAAATCTTCATCGATCTATCTATCTATCTATCTATCTATCTATCTATCTATTCCCCCTCCTTCCTATCTATCTATCTATCTATCTATCTATCTATCTATCTATCTATCTATCTATCTATCTATCTATTCCCCCTCCTTCCTATCTATCTATCTATCTATCTATCTATCTATCTATCTATCTATCTATCTATCTATCTATCTATCTATCTATTCCACCTCCTTCCTATCTATCTATCTATCTATTTATCTATCTATCTATCTATCTATCGCACACAACTTCTTATCACATCTCTGTTTCTCTGCCTTTCTCACTATATATATATATATATTTTAGTCTATTCTCATCTATCATAATTGAATTGATTCACTATCTATCTATCTATCTATCTATCTATCTATCTATCTATCTATCCCAGTATATATATTTCAATCTGTTCTTAACTATCATATTAAATTCGTTCATTATCTATCTATCTATCTATCTATCTATCTATCTATCTATCTATCTATCTATCTATAACAATTTATCAAATCTTCTTATCTATCTGTCTATGGCTCCCTTTCTCTCTCTCTCTCCATATATATATATATATATATATATATATATATATATATATGTATGCATTTCAGTCAGTTCTTAACTATCATATTGACTCCATTCAGTATCTATCTATCTATCTATCTATCTATCTATCTATCTATCTATCTATCTATCTATCTATAACAATTTATCAAATCTTCTTATCTATCTGTCTATCGCTCCCTTTCTCTCTTTTCTCTCTCTTTTCTCTCCATATATATATATATATATATATATATATATATGCATTTCAGTCAGTTCTTAACTATCATATTGGCTCCAT